GCGTGCACGCGCACGTCACATATACTATATTCTTATATATATATATATATATATACACACACACGCCTGGCATAACGCGCGCGCTGGACGATGCGTCGACGAGCTCCATCCACCTCGCCGTTGGGAGGATCCGCCGACCCGTGACCACCGCGTCACCGGCGGAATCCCCGGGTTTTGACCCCCAGTGCGAGATCGGCGACGGGAATTCGCTCCAAGACGTCGAGAGGAATTCCGTTGTCAAGCAAGGAGTGCAGGCTGTAGTTACCTGGAGGAGCTTCGCCACGGCGAATTCGAATTCTAAATAGAACTGCGCAAGTTTCTCACATTTCATTGAGGAAAATATAAACGATATAAGAAAAGCTTATCGCCCGATAGACGTCGATTTCATCGTGCCGAAGTGGACAGAAGGGTTGGGGGCACCGGACGCGCATCAACGTGTGGCACTGGAGAGATTTGTCTCCTCCTGGTGTATGTGAATTCACTATCGGTGAACGACGAGTGTAAATAATGTGAGTTGTCTCTCAAGAGGTCAATTCTGTATTGATAAATAAGGTCAATTGTTAAAGTTGATGCTTCACCAAGAAGCCAATAACTTTCTTTGTGTATTGACAATTGCAATCAATCTGGAAATTAACTTTAACTGTGTTCCTCTTCGCTTGAGTCTATCAATTTAAACTGACATTGAGGAGCAATTTTAAAAGACATTGATTGTATATCTCTGAAGTATTAATTACCTTTCTCAAAGTATCTTCTGACTTTTATTGATCAAGCTAAACACATATATGATGTGTTAGTAAAATATTTCTAATATTGTAAATAATGAATTTTAGATTGATTATATATATAGTAAGAATAAAAGAAATGTTTGCAAAATTATTAATTTTATATTATATTAAATGATGAAAAATATTTCTAACATTTTGTTGTATAAGATATTTAAATATATTTGATTAACGAAACTATTTCTCTGTTGCAGATTTGTTGGAAAAAAAATGTGTAATGCCAGAGTGATTCAATATAGAGACATAGGTGGCCAATGTAGAGCGATCGACTATAATAGACTATTGTGTATCTTGCTTAGTTGATGTACGGAGCGTTACCTTAGACATTTGACTCTTTTACTGCATATCCTTAGTCACATTTTGTTGGAAAATATCCGGTGTTCAGAAAATTGTAAAATTTAATGAGGCCGAAGGTGCCTCAAAAGAGGGGAAACTTTCTTTTGAGAAGGTATAGCGTTCTACAATCGATTTTGACGAACAATGAACCATTCGGGAAGCGGAAAACGCCAGGCGAAGGTTTTGGAAGAAAATTATTGGGACTGTAGTGTCTGCACTTATAGGAATACAGCGGAAGCATTTAAGTGCCTCATGTGTGACGTCCGCAAGGGAACCTCTACGCGGAAACCCCGCATAAACCCCCAATTGGTAGCTCAACAGGTCAGTTCAATCTCAATATATATCGTTCCATATTTTTTACATAAAAGACACAAACCTTTTTAATTTATTCTCTTTACTGCATTGAGGGCTAAATTTCGTTACAATTATAATTTTTATAAAGTGATTGTAAGCTTCTGTTTAATTTTTATTATGAAGAATCTGGCTTGTATTCTTTTATTTACTATTATTATTATTTATTATACGAAGATTTTTATCCTTCAAAAGAAGCAGTATCATGATTTATTTCTTTAATTATTTTGGAATTAAATTCATGTTTCGCAGATTTTGTTTCAGAACAAAATATTTTCTTATTCAGAATTCTTAGTATTGTATAAGAGAGATGATAAATCTGAAAATCATATTCAGATCTTCATGATTGTTCTAGCTATTATAGCGTTATATATTAACATGAGCAGATTGTTTTTAATTTCTTTTTGTTTTTAATTTCTTTTACCTTGATAACAAAATTTAAATATGTAATAAATTTTGTACTATCTCGTATCTAGGTTGCACAGCAACAATATGTACCACTTCTGAAACCAGGCAAGAAAGAAGGAAGTGGTGGCGGTAGCACGACCAGCGGCGTCAAAGAGAAGGAACGCAAACTGGACAAACTAAGGCGCAAAAACAGGCATCCACCGCGTCTGAAAAATATCGACCGCAGTACTGCGCAATCAAATGAGGTAACGGTCAATAATGTTACCGTCACCATCACGGAATACAAGCCGAAGGTGAAGAAGGGCTCGGATCAGTCGAGTAATGCTAGTTCTGAGGGTGGGAGCCAGCACGACTCAAATCAGGACTCGCGAAGTCTCGATGTAGGAACCGACGCCTAGTTTAATACTAATGTTACATATGTGTGTACGAATTATTCTAATTAATATATTATACGACGTATGTATGTCAACTTTTGTGGTCATCCATACATCCTCTAGGCAAACATGACTATTGATGATGGTAATTCCTCTCTCGAGTTTGTCTGCGTGTTGTAAAAATAATGAATATTGCATGATGAATCCAACGAGGTCAGGCATTTTCTGCTCATCAACAGGGATATTATTGACTGAGCATGACTTGTATATCATCATTGAAAGAACAGGAATATAATGTACATTGTATATCACTGTTTCACTCGTTGCACAAATTACAGACTAATTCGCATCGCTTCTCTATGCGTCTCTTGCGAAAAAGAAGAAATGTACTTAAAAGACCGCTTACTTTACGAACGTCGTTCTTTTATTCTGTAATATTTATTAAATTTAGTTAAAATGTCTATCAATGCGACATATTTGCGCTAGATTTAAATGCAAGAAAAAAAGAGAAAGAAGACAAATTGTAAATATCAGTCAAACGAAATTTTATGAATTATTGTTGATATGATTATATTTTCGAATTTCATTGAATTTACGAGTCCACTGCCAAAAAAAGAAGCATTATAAGATAAATTATTCAAAATTTGTCAAGAAGTTTAACAACAATATATATG